ACTCCAAATAATATTTTTACATAAAATTTGATTAAAATTCCAACTAATTAAAATTTATTTTTTTACATTTTAAAAGTTGAGCTGATTAAAATTTATTTTTTTACATATTAAATTTGAGCCGATTAAAATTAAATTCAATTTGATTAAATATTATTTTTTTTACATATTAAAATTTGAGCCTATTAAAATTCTTTTTTTTTTATGTATTAAAATTCTAGCCGATTTAAACTCAACCCGAGCTGTTAGTGCTGATTAAAATTTATATTTTTCTATTTTTAAAAATTTGTGTTAATTAAAATTCGATTTAAGTTAATTAAAATTTGTGTCAATTAAATTTTTTTTTTACATATCAAAATTTGGGCCAATTAAATATGAATTTTTAATCGACTCGAATCAAATTTTAATACGTAAAAAAATTCATAAATAAGGGGGTTTTATTGAAAATATATCTATCTAGAGAGGGTGTGGATGAATTTTTTTTTAAAATATATCGTAGACACTTTAGTAAAATTGTATTATAGTTAAGACTTTTAGGGAGGTGTCAGTAAAAATTCAAAAAATAGATGAGGTGTCCTTGAAAATATGATAAATTAGAAAATGTGTGGCTGAAATTTTGCCTAAAATCTAAACAACGACAATATTAGGATATAACCATCGATCATAATTCCGTTTTAAAACGTCGAAACGTTTCCGTTTTCAAGGAAATCGAAACGACTCAATAATACAATCAAAATTCTAATATTTGAAGGTATTTTATAATATTTCAAGGCATTTACTTAATTGTTTCGGAATGTTTCAAAGTATTTTAATATATTTCGATCAATATTTTAAAAAAATAATTCTTAAATTATTTATTTATTTTTATTCTGTTTTCAAAACAGATTAAAACGTTTTGATTTCTTAGATGACCGAAACAATTCACTAAAATAAAATTTTTCATCCCTGAATATAAGAAACTGAGAATGAATTCTATATAAAATAGTAAAATACTGATGACAACTTGGTACAATGGAGACCCAACCCTTTTTTTCCCCAAATTTAGATGAGACATTTCCTAATTGTTGGATGTGGCCCTTCCGCATGTTGCCTTAACCAAAAAAAAAAAAGCAAAAGGGGAGCTTGTATCTGTAGATATTTATTAAATTTAATTATGCCGGATTACTAACGAATGGACAATGTTTGAAAAATGTGAGATTATTTTCATCCCTTAAATATTTTTTTTCACCCTATTTAATTATTTTATTTTAAATTATTAAGTTTACCTCATCTATACTCACTTCATTAGTTACTAAGTTCATTCCATTTACACCCATTCAATTAAACTATTAAATATATGCCAAAGAAATCGAAATAAAAGTAGTAATTAAAGCAAAATTTTAATGTTCCGAAGTGATTTATATTATTTCGAGGTATTTTGATATATTTTCACCAATATCTTTGGAATATTTTGGTATATTTTGACTAGTATTTTAAAAATAATTACTAATTTTTATTTTACTTCTGAAATATTTTTGTACTGAAATAATACATTAAAATAAAATTTTGATCATTGCTGACATAGTAGGTTGAAATAATATTAAATTAAATTAATTTTTAATTAGTGAATATAGACGGGGTGAGTGTAGTAACTAATTAGGTAAGTATAGATAGTGTAAACTTCATAGTTTGAAGTAAGATAATTAAATAAAGTAAAAAAAAAAGATTTAAGGGGCAAAAATAACCTACCCGTTTGAAAATTGCAATAACGACCAAACATAAATCACTAAAAAAAGCAAAAAGAAGAAACAATAATTATGCCTAGGTTTCACCTGCCCTAAGATTCTAGCACCTTTACAACTTTTTTTTGGTTAATTTTTAGCAGCTTTATAATTATGCACATTTTCCATAGGAGAAAAAAACAAACAAAAAGCATTGCGTCCCTATCATGGAGAACATGGGTGTAGGTAAAGTGTTTCTTAAAAAAAAAAAAAACAAATAGAAAATGAAAATTTAGGAAGAAAGAATCAAGAGAATATAAAAAAACTCGAAGGAATCAAACCCATAACCCAAAAGGAGTTTTCTTAATATTCTATCCTCTTTGTACTTGTCTTTTTTATTTATTGAACATTAAGAATAGAAGCGTGGTTCTGAGATAGTATAGTTGTTCTTCTATACAGTTGATCAATTAGAATAGAGTATTAATACAAATTCCTCCACCCTCTAACTTTATCCATATAAGAACGTGTAATTAACTTGGTGGCACGTGTACCTATGTGGCAAAAAACAGGACATGTGTGGTTTTGCTGACTCAGACACACGTTATTGAAACAACCTAGTAGTATGATATTATATGTGTATGCATAGGTACGTTTAAAAATAAATAGGATGTTTTTATGGTTAGTGGTTTTCAATCCTTGCTGCCATTTACTTGTTTTATGGGAAACCGAAAGTACCCAAAGAATGGAGGAGAATAAACATTCACAGTGGGGGGAAGGAATCAAAAAAGTCTAATGCAGGAGGGAGAGAGAGAGAGAGAGGGGTAGAGGTAGAGAAGAAACCTGTTGGTCGCACATTAAATGTATACAATTTCGAATGGTTCAGTGATTGAGTCTGACATTTAGTAATTCATGAATCGTATGTTTAATTCTTTTTCACATTTTTTAAAAATTAGCCACCTTTATTCTTTTGGGGGCATGCTTTAACCCAATTCAAGTTACAGTGGTTAACCGCTAAGCTCGGAAAAATAATTGGTACAAACCTAAACATCCTGTAATAAAAAAAAATAACATATACCATGCACATTTAACAAGTATTGCCTTTCGGCAAAGACTCTTTATTGTAGTGCATATATACATCTATAATATAAAATAGGGGCAAACTTTAATAAAATTATTCGACGACCTTTAATAGATTCATTTAAGGGTCACCAACATCCCTTTCAAAATCATTCATATTACATCGTATCAGGTACGGATTACCCTTATGTTTATATTTAGCTACTTTAAACTAACATCTCTTTTTGAGTAAAATGACTCCCTCTCTTTTTCTCATACACAATTTGGGTGAAATAATAAAATCTATAATTTATAATATAAAATAGAGTAGATTTCAATAAGCTCCTTCAATGGTCTCAAATAGACTAATTTAATGGTCACCAATATTTCACTCAAAACTATTCACATTATATCGTGTTTTTAAACACGAGTTACCATTAATATTCAATATAACAGTGATACCGCATCAATAATGATAAGTGAAGCTCTGCATGGATAAAAACTAGATTTTATCAAAGTGCTCATGTCACAGTATTCCCAACCTCTTTTTTAGTATGTTACTAAAATTACTACAAAATAAAATTTGATGGAATTACTTAAAAAAAAGAAAAGATTTTTGGCGATCTATCATACCGTTTTAATATCGACCCAATTTTTTTTTTGGGAATCATAATTGAATCTGCAAATTAGTAATTTGAGGCAAATAAATCAAAATTAACTATAAATTCAGCCCTAGCCACACAATGGGGAAAAAGGGGGAAGTATACGAGCTCAATTAGTCTAAACCGTGAGCTGGCTGCTGTTATAGCGGTATTGAATAAAAATTCTAAACACAACCAATGGGTAAAAATCAAGTTTTTCAAACCCAAGTCCAAATTGCTCTCTTTTTTGAAGACAGGATTGGTCATTGTCTAATGTCACTCCAATGGCCTAAGTTTTCTGTTAAGTGTAAATTAGGTAGAGCGAGACAGAGAATTCCTTGCCCTAGCTGCATGGAGATTCAAGTTTAAGACTAGACTTCAGCTTGATTATAATATAGTTCAATTGACTTAATCAATCTAACAAGCACACATATTCTACAAGCCACAATTGAAAGAATCACTCAATTTAAAATTTTGAACCTTGAAAAACAGGTCTAAATCAAATGGTTCTCGAATCTTGAATAGTTTGAATTTCTTTGCGAACTTGCAGCACAGTGCGTGCGAAGGCTCATTTACAGAAGCGTTGCACTATTATGGCATTTGGGCGATGTTCCATTCCTCGCTAGCTCGAGAAAAAAACTAATCATTAGCCCTCAACTCTTTTTTTACAATCCCTACGTTTGCCTCATGGATTTAAATTTTATAACAAGAAATAGAAGTGAGGAAATCTTTAATACATTTTCTTTACATTTTTTTTTATAGATTATCCGTTGTGTATCCAAGTAGAACTTTAATGTATATATATGAGTTCCTCGTGATAGATAATGTGTCATGAAACACGTCGGAAGAAAAAATATATTAGAGTGAATTTAGATTTCAAGAAATATCTCAAATAGGGTTGCTAATCGAGATCAATTTTTTAAACGAGTTTAAAAAATTATTTAAACTCGGCTCTTTTAAAAAATGAGTCGAGTTTGAGCCGAACTTGAGCTGAACCCGAATAGTTTAATTATTTTACATATAAACGAGCCGAGTTTAACGAGTTATAGTTATACCTAACGAACCTAAAAAATTGTTTAATCTCATCTCAAACTTAAATCGAGTCCTAACTGAATTAAACCCAACCCAAGTCCTTTGACTCAATTATCATTCCTAACCTCAAAAGGGAAAATCAAAGACAAAAAAGTCATTTGATCCCACCCAAATCCTGCAATTATCCCCATAGACCCAGATAATCTATAGTTAATCCTCCCTCCAAAACCACTCCCATTAACAACTCCCCTAATCTATATGTCTATCCATAATTTCTCTCTCTCCAGTCCCCCTAATCCCAACGCACAGACTCGTTGAGAAAGAACAAGTGAACAACCAACTACGGACGCGTCCATCTATATAACCAATTCTTACAACTAATATCTCGCCTCTATTCCATCTCTCTCTCTCTCTCTCTCTCTCTCATCATATCTTTCTATCCCTATATCTCTATATCCGTATATTTACAATTTGAAAAAAGCCAGCAACTCTATATTCTTTACAAAACCCATCAAGGTTCTTGATCTGTAGTAACCATTTTTCCATGGGTTCTTCCTTTTCCCTTTTCAGCAACATGTGCACCAACAGAGCTACTGTTCCTTCGAAACCCAATCTTGGGGACTTGCCGGATAGCTGTGTGGCGTCGATTCTGGGGTATTTAGACCCACCGGAGATCTGTAGACTGGCTCTTCTTAATAGGGCCTTTCGAGGTGCTTCATCGGCAGATTTTGTTTGGGAATCCAAACTGCCTTTGAATTATGGGTCTGTGATCGAAAGAGTGTTTGAAGATTTTCCTGAGAAATTGTGTAAAAGAGATATTTATGCCAGGCTTTGTCGACTCCATTCTCTTGATGGAGGCACAAAGGTGCGATTTTTATTCTAAAATCCTTTTGCTTTTTGTTAAATACTGTGCATATAGGTCTGTGTGGTATATCTTTTTGTGATTTTCGAAAACAAAAACAAGCCAAAACTGCTTTGATGGAAATGTTTGGTGAACATTTATAATCTTGTTTCGGAAGTTTTGGGTCTGACCCAAACAAACAAATGGATTTTGGGTTGATTTTGATCTCAAAAGTTCTTATTGAAACTTGAACAAAGAAAAAAAAGGCTTATGACTTATCATTGATGATGTTGTGTTTAGTAAAAATTGAAAAAAACTACAGAAAATGATACCAAACGGCCCTTAGGTTTTTAGAAAAATCTGAAATAATTTTTGTTTTTGTTGAATAGGAAGAAGAATAAGTGGCCTTAT